GAAAGGTGAGGGGGTGGTGTTGTGGTGTCATTGTTGTTTCTCAGGCTCTGTGAGCAGTTTTGCCGAAATACCTGTCTGAAGGTCCAAGGGATGGATCCCTTCAGCACCCTGAACAGGTTATAAAACAATGCTCTGTGCCCACGTAGAAGGGCAGGGAATAAAAATAGCTGCCATATCCCTGGGGAGAACAAATCGTGTCAGGGAATGGAAGTGGGGTGATTCCTCCCGGGTGGGTGGCTCTGGGAAGGAGGGGGAGCACTAATGGAACATGGACTGACTCATAAAGCTCTTGACACTGTCCCACGTGGCATTTGCATAAATCAACAAGGTAAGTGTGGCCTGGGTGAATCTGCTGCTGTGTGGGTGCGACACCAGTGGGGGAAACTGCAGTCAGAGAAGGCAAACATTGGGTGTTTTCCTCCCAGAGGGGAGCACGTGTCAGGTGGGATCCCACGGGATCAGCTCCCAGCTCAGCACTGCTCAGTTTGCAGGATGAAACAGGGAACAGTCACACACCAGTGCTGTACTGGGACTGGGATTCTCCAGAGGGCAGGCTGGTCCTGGGGGGTGTTTCATTGCCCATCACCTCTGCCAGGCCTCTTCCTCTGCAGGAGAGCCCTTGCAATGGGTTAGAGTGGAAAAGGTCTCGGAATCTGCAGTGGTTGCAGCCCTGTGCCTGCTATAAAACACAGCTAAAATCAAGCTTTTCAGCACCTTCAGCCAGCAGTTTGCTTAAGAATTCCTCTGAGTGGTGGTTCATGTTCAGTCTCCCCATCAGAACCCCCTCGTTCCACAGGCTGCTCCTTGCCTGGGGGGCTCCATGCGAGCAATTCCACTTTACCTCTGTTTTATAAGGTCTTGCTCTGCTCCTGGCAGACGCCCCTGACATGTTGCTGCACATATAACAGAGAAGAAAAGGGTCTGTGTGTCCAAAAATGTGGGGTTGGTTTGCCTCGCCTCAGTCTATTGGTGGTGAAAGCAATAAATGCCACGTTTTTATAAAAGGGCTCCTGAAGGGAAAAACTTCCTGGGCTTGCGTGGGGGAGGAATTAAGTGCAGGTGATGAGGTGGAAGAGGGGCTGGAATACCTGACAGGAATGACAGATGGAATAATGCTACAATAACAGTGACACAGGAACCATTTTGTAGGTGATGATCTGATCTCACATCTGCACTGTTCACCCCCCGCTGGAGATGCCTCCTCTGCTTGGGCCCCATTCCAAGTGGGACAGCAGAGGATTCCTGCCATCATCCTCCCCCTGGGCCGGGCAGTGCAGTGGAGCAGAGTCCCTGTGTCACCTTTCGGGTGGGGAAGGGAATGTTGTGTCCCTGTCTGCAGTGTCTGGGCCATAAATAGAACCATTTTACTGCCTTTTTTTGGGGTTTTGCCCTATTATCCCAGATCCTGCAGAAACCAGCACCTGTTAATTGGGCTGCACAGGCAAATAGTTAGTTATTACTGATTTTACTTCTAGATCTGCATTTCTTCTGACAAATATTTCCTGCAGTCCATCCCTGTTCGTAGAAATAATCAAAACAGCTTTGTTTCTGTGAGTCCCCAAACCAAGCAGCAAAACACAGCACGTAACCAGTCCCTGTCAGGGGGCAGCACTGTCCCTGCCAACCGCTCATTGTTGGATTTTCCTCCTGTTTCTTCTGGTGGATGTGTGTTAGGAGAGAAGGAGCCTGGGCACTGTCAGCTCTGGTTTTGGACACGGTGCTGAAGCTGCAGCCGCTGTGGTTTGGGGTTTTTGGGGCTGTTTGCCTGCAGAAAGGGTGGTCAGGCCCTGGCAGGGGGTGCCCAGGGAGGTTTGGAGTGCCCAGCCCTGGAGGTGTCCCAGGCAGGCCTGGCCGTGGCACTCAGTGCTCTGGGCTGGGGAATAGGGTGGGCATCGGGCAAAGGGGGGAATTTACAGGCTGGGAGGGCTTTTCCAACCTTAATGATTCTGTGAAATGTTCCTTGAACACCTGCAGGGATGATGACTCCACCCTGGGCAGCCCCTTCCGATGCTGAAACGCCCCCAGATGTCCCTCTGAGCTGTGTTTCATCACTACCAGAGGGTGTCCCATCCCGTGACTCGTTTCCATATTTACCGACCCCGTGTTTGGTTTCATTTGTAACCCTTTGTTTCGCTGCCATTTTTGCTCACGATTTTGCTCCCTGTTTACGTTGTGTTCTCTTTGCTCTCTGCCTCCCTCCCTGCCAGGTCCCAGCCCAGCCCGGACCCCCCCAGCGTGGTGGCCGACGAGCACTCCCTGATAGCCACCTACGTGAGCCGGCTGCAGCGCGGGGCACGGTCAGTGCCAGGGCCACAGGCAATGCCAGGGCAGTGCCAGGGGCATGGGCAGTGCCAGGGCAGTGCCAGGGGCACAGGCAGTGCCAGGGAGGGGCCACACACACAGGCAAAGGGAGGGACACACGATCTGGTGCTCCCTGAAATCTCCCGGAAGGGATGGATCGCTGTCCACCCCTGCCCTGCTGCACTCCCCCTTTACATGAGCCCGATGACGTGGCTCCAAATGGGTTAATTGCTTATTTTTTCTCTCCCTGGCCGTTCTGGGATCTTGTCTTCTACCCGTAGGAAGCTGATTTCCCCCTTAATTTCTTTCCCAGCACTGTCCTATAGCTTGTGCCTGTTCTTCTTTCTCCTCCCTGCCTTCACCTCCACCCCAAACACAGTCCCATCCCGTCCCTGCCTTTGTTCTTGAACAAGCTCTTCCAACCCCACACCATGACCTGCAACTGTTTCTTTCCCCAAAAAAACTTAGTGTTAATGCTTTGAAGAATTAATTCCTTTTATCTCAGCTTTGGTATTTGTGCACATTTATATTTCATGGCTCTGTCTGTGCAGAGAAATTTCACCCTGAAGCCCCAAAATGCAGCTCTCCCATTTCGTCCCAGGACACAGCCTGGGGGTTCCCTTTGCCACTGTTGGACCTCATTAACTTGTGCCTTTAGAGAGCCAGAGTTGGGCTGGGGAGGAAAGGGAGGTTTAGTGAGCTGGGAGCTGTATTTTGCTTGCTCTATCCATGTTTCCACCCTCTGGATAATATTTTTAGAGCCCCATTTCATCACTTTGTCCTGCAGAAATTCATATCCCACTGTTTTGTGATCTCGTGGGAAAAAGAAGTTTTTCCTGGTAGTGGATCACTGCTCTCCCCTGCAGGAGCTGAGAGCCCAAAATATTTTCCACAAGACAATGAAATCCAAGGAATTTCAGGCTCTGGCCTTCACTCAGTTACTGCAGTCCTTGGATTTGGAGATCCAAAGGAGGAGGATCTCTTTAGGATGCTTACAAAGCATCTTGAAGAAAATATGGCAGATTGAAATGCTGAGTCTCCCAGAATCACTAAGGTTGGGAAAGCCCTCCCAGCCCGTGGATCCCCCCCCATGTCCCATCCCCACCCTGTCCCCCAGCCCAGAGCTCTGAGTGCCATTCCAGGCCTGCCTGGGACACCTCCAGGGCTGGGCACTCCAAACCTCCCTGGGCAGCCCCTGCCAGGGCCTGACAGTTCTTTCCATGACCCCCGTCCAGCCTGGCCTTGGACACTCCCAGGGATCCAGGGGCAGCCACAGCTTCTCTGCCCAACCTGTGCCAGGGCCTGCCCACCCTCCCAGCCAAGGATTCCTTCCCAATCTCCCATCCATCCCTGCCCCCTGGCAGTGGGAAGCAGTTATGTGATGTGTCACCTTCTCTCACTGCCCATCCCTGCCCACACTCGGGTTGTCCCAGCCCAGTTTTGGGTTGGCATTTGGCAGCAGGGCACGGCTGTCTGGGCTCTCTCTCCACTGACTGCCCTTTCCCTCGTTCTGCAGGATGTGATTCCATGAGATCCCCAAGCCGGGATCAGTGGGGGGGGGGGGTGATTTTCCCCTGTTTCTCCCCCCATCTCACCCTGCACCCCCTGTTGTGTGACTGCCACATGTCCCCTGGCTCAGGGCCCTCCCTGGCACGGCACAGGTTGTTCTTGTTCTGCCAGGCCCGTCCTGAGCCAACTCAATTTCCGTGCCTGGCTCCTCACGGTGTGCCCGTGCCGTGCCCAAAGGGCAGAGCCTGCGGACTGCCTGTTCCAGAACACCTCAACCCACCCCCCCAGCACCCTCCTGTGCCCTGTGTGTGCCTCCAGAGCCTTTGTTCTGGCCCGTTGTCCCAGACCCAGCTGGCCCCAGGGTGGGAGTGAAGCCTCCCCTGGTCAGACCTTTCCATCAAGGCCAGGCTGGACAGGGCTTGGAACAACCTGCTCTGGGGGAAAATGTCCCTGCCCGTGGCTGGGGGTGGGACTGGATGAGCTCTGAGGTTCCTGCACACCCAAACCATTCTGGGATTCTCTGATCTGTGTCACCCACGTGCAGCCAGAACCTCCCAAGGACTGAAACAGGAGAGCTCCTGGCCTGGCTGTGTCACTGCTGTGGAGGGAGCACAGCGTTGTCACAATGGGCCAAACCCCTTGAACAGTGTTCTGAAGGCAGGGAATTCTAGAATGTTGCTTCTTCGAGGTTCTGCTGCTGTGGAAATCCCTGAACTCTCACTCGTGTACCTTCCCCCCATCTGAGCTTGTTCTTGCCCTTCACTACCTTTCCTGTCCCTGAGGGCTGAGGGGACTCACCTGGGGAAGAGAAGGATCCAGGGAGACCTTGGAGCCCCTTGCAGGGCCTAAAGGGGCTCCAGGAGAGCTGGAGAGGGACTGGGGACAAGGAATGGAGGGACAGGACACAGGGAATGGCTTCCCAGTGCCAGAGGGCAGGGACAGATGGGAGATTGGGAAGGAATTGCTGGCTGGGAGGGTGGGCAGGCCCTGGCACAGGTTGGGCAGAGAAGCTGTGGCTGCCCCTGGATCCCTGGCAGTGTCCAAGGCCAGGCTGGACGGGGCTTGAGATGGACTTGAACTCCCCTCCTTCATCATCTGTAAAATATTTCTAAGAGCAAACAGAAAAGGATTATTCTTTTTTCATAAATTACAGGGGTTTTTTTTCACAAAAGCAAGAAATGGTCAGTAACTCTTCTGTAACTCACCTAGATAGGAGGTTGTAGTTCCAGGAGTTGGGAGATTCTGGAAAGGGTGGAAGGGTCTCTCCTAAAAGCAGGAGAAAACTTGTACAGCCAGAATTGCCAAGGAATGCTGAAGGAAAGCAGCTGTGTCAGAATGTGGGATGGGCAAATTGTTCTCCTTTAGCAAAAATATAGGGGATAACAAATTAGTGTGAAGGTACCTGTGCAATTCCTCAAGCCTCCTGTAAAGGCCCTGGTTTTTCCTCTCTTAAATCTGCATTCCCCCTGGTTTAACTCCCCTTTCTGCAGCTCCCTCCTTTGCTCTGGGCAGTTGGGTGTCTCCAGGTCTGGATCCAGCCAGGCCAGGCTCCTGGCAGTTTGTGCTCATCACAGACCCACCTGTGCTCACTGTACCTGTGTCTGTTCAGTGCATCCCAAACACATCACCTGGCAAACTCTGGAGTCTTCAGAGACTTCAGGTTGTTAAATTGGATGTTAATGAAAAGAAATTAAGTCTGCAATTTTAAATAACCATCACGTTCACAGCACAGATTTGGTTCAAGGAAACATAAATCCTTGAAATTAGGCTTAAGGAAATGTGAATAGTCATCTGAGGTGGGAATGTGGGCTGGAAGTAGCTTTTGTGGTGCACCAGGTCTGTGTCTGGTTTAATCTGCTGCTGTCTGTGGTGATGGTGACCCCAAATTTCCCCGTAGCACCCTCAGGTACCACCCTGGGCTGTCCATGGATCCCAGCTGGAACCTCAGGGGTGGCACTGGGAAGGCTGTGTGGCCACTGGAAGCACAGTCCTCATTCCCACACTAACCCTGGTCGTTCCAGTTAATAACAGTTTGGTTTCTGGGATCCAGTGGTTGCCTTTGCAAAGGGTGTGGGACGAGGGATCTCTGCACAGCACTGGGATAACCAGCAACTCCCAAATCCAGTGGCTGGATGTTGACTTCAAAAGCTGCTCTTTCATTTGGGATTCCCCTCCTGGTTCCTTGTGGAACTATGGCACCAAACCCAGCTGGGGATAGATCTCAGCACTGGCTGCTTTCAATTAATACAGCCCAAAAATCAGCCTTTGTTCCCCAGTGTGTTTATAGTTAAAAGGAGAATTGTTTGGAAGTAGCAGGAGCTGCCTCAGCAGTGGGGGCTCTGACTGTTCCCAGGCTGGGTTAATCTGTTGATGCTGAACATGCCCAGAGACACAATGCTCGTGTGGAACAAGAGCCAGATCCAGGGGCTGCCTTTCCCTTCCCACCCGGGATCTGTCACCTCAGCTGTCTCTGCTCTTCCTGTCTCAAACCTCCATGACCCTTCCTCTGTCACCTCAGGGTGCTGTCACTCTGCTGATGGCTGTTGGAAATGGCTCTTAATACCCATTCCAGCAGCATTTCCAAGGCACCCATGGAATCCTGGGCTGGTTTGAGTGGGAAGGAACCTTCAAGCACATCCAGTTCCACCCCCTGCCACGGGCAGGGACACCTTTCACCAGCCCAGGCTGCTCCAGGCCCCATCCAACCTGGCAGTAGGAGCCAGCTGGAGCTGTGTCACCCTCTGGAGCTGAGCTGGGAAGGACCAAATCTTAAACTGCCACGCTTTGTAAATGGGTGTTGCGAGGTGTGTGTAAAGTCAGGCTGACTTGCAAAGTGCTGTTTGCGTTTAAGTCGATGCTGTTCAGTGACAGAAGGTCCTCCTCAGGTCAGCACAGTTCTCCCCACTCTTCCTCATGGAAATCATCCCGGCTTGGACACTGATGATCCCACATCCATGGAGGAGGAGGATTTCCTCCTTTGTCACTGGGCTGTTGGCCCCCGTTGACCTTGAGTGACCAGAAGGGTTTGCAGACAAGCTCCTCAGAAACAGGTGAAATCTGTGCCTAAACCAAATTCTTTTAATTACACTGCAAACTGGAGCCTGTGAATCCTGGAAAATGTTTCTGCTCAGCAGAAAGCCTGCAGAGCGGTTCCCCCGCTATGGAAGCGGAGTGGAAAAAGGGAATTACGCAGATTATTTCCAGCGGGACTCTCTCTCTCTCTTTGCTGTCGCTGTCTCCTTGCACTGACACATCCTCCCCTCCCTGCCCCGGAGCGAGGCACTGACGGTGTGTGTTGGGTTCTTGGCAGTGTCCTGGACAGCCCAGGGCGGCTGGACGAGGAGCACCGGCTGATCGCCAGGTACGCCGCGCGACTCGCCGCCGAGGCCGGCAATGCCGTAAGTGAACACCCCGGGGAGCAGGGAGGGGCTCCGAGGGTCGGGATGGGGGAGCTGGGTTCCCAGAGCCCCATGAAATGGTCGGGTTTTGTTTGTTCAGCAGCACAGGCTCCTCGTTTCTGCGGGAACAGGGCGCTGCCGGGAGCGGGGAAACGGGAATGGGAAACGAGAGCGCGGATGATCAGAAACGAGGTCAGAGGGGCTGAGGGAATAAGCAGCTTAGTCCTGCTTAGGCCAGAGAGGAGATAAATGTGTGGATACCTGAGGAAAACAAATCGTGGAGCAATTGCTGGGGAATGTGTTTATTCCAGGGGGAAGCAGCCTGAGGGATAAAGGAAAGAGGTTTCCGTGGTTGTGGTTTCTTCTCATGGGAAAGGGAAACACCCCAACACAGTGTAAATTGGTAAAAATAAATCCTGCCCTAACAGAAAATTACTATGGGAGAATAATAAGAATTCAGTGAAATTCCTTGGAATATTGTCAGGCCACCTGGGTGGGGAGATCATTTATCCGTAGGGAAGGAGAGCAGAGTTTGCAGGAGCCATCTCCCACGTTCCTGAATTCCCTTCAGTGTGTGTTCGGCTCGTAACCCACCTTTGGCAGAGGGATGTGAGCAGATATTTTTATAAAACTTTAATAAAACCAGAATTATGCTTCTGAAACGTTTTTAAATGGCAGTTCCCAGCACCCCAGTCAAACAGTTGCATGTCCCAGGTCATTCCGTTCATCAGGACTATGGTCATGTTATGTTAAAATATTAAAGTGATAAAGGGCCAAGCTCCAGGTTTGGATGGAAAAGGAGGAGATTTCCATGTAACCATGTAAAATTCAAGTTGTTTAATGAGACAGTAAGTGCTGAATCACTGTCACGCTGGAAGGTGGTGGAGCAATTCTTACTCATGACTTGACTTTTTCTGGTAGAAACAAAGTGTTACGAAAACCAAGGAGTCACAAACTGGTTCTGAAAGAACCTGATGGTTTAAAGACCTGTGAATCACCCCCACCCGCTCCTCTGTCCGTTTTAGTTCTGGAAGGGGTCAAAAATGAAGCAATTTTTTGGGTGTGCAGAGCAGCATTTCGAGTTTACTGAGGCTTTTCAGAGTGCTGTGACGAATTCCTGCCTTCTTTTCCCCCACATAAAGTCCTGTGGAAGGGCAGAAGTCAGAGCAGTGCCAGGGATCGACGTGGGAAAGGAGGAAAGGGTGAGAACAGCGTGTTTCCATTGCAACCAGACCCTGGCCACAAGGAATCTGAAGTTATTTACTGGCTCCACTGTTTATTCCCATCCAGAAATGCCAATCAGCCGAAATGGATGGATCTTTTGGGTTCTTAAGGAATCCAGGTGGAAAGGGCTTTGCTTCGTGGCAGCCCCTCCTTATTTCTTACTGATGGGAAACCCTCCTTCCTTGTCCAGGCTTGGTGGGGGAACATCCCCTGAGCTCTGGGACGTGTCCATGGCCGTGGGGACAGCGTGCCACGTGCTCAGGGACACCTCTGTGTGTCTGCAGGTGTCACTGCCAGGGATTCACTGCTTTTGGAAAGTGAAACAGCTGAGGTGTTTGAGCCACGATCACGGTTTTTCCAGTGTTCTTCTTGCAGCATTAACACAGAGAGACAGCAGTGAAGGAGAGGCTGGGAAATCCAAAACAAAAAAACAAAAACAAAACAAAACAAACAAACAAAAAAAAGGAGCAATTTTTTCTTTCCCCATGGAATTAAAATGGGGAACATCAGATGAAAACCCCAATAGAAATAATAACAAAATAAATTTGAGGGTTTAATTCTGGAAATCCAAGTCTGTTTGTTGTTGAAGAAGGGCAGTAGCCAGGGAGGAGGAGAGGGGAGGGGAGGGGGAGGAGGAAGCCTCAGTGCCACGGGCAGCCGTGCCGTGCCCCGCGGTGCCCGAGCAGCCGATGGCACGTGAGCAGGACGTGGCAGTGGGGTCTGACTGAGCTGCTCTTGTTCCCCTCGAGCCACTCTGCGGACAAAACATCCCTTTTATTGAATCTGAGTGCTCAGGCAGGGCTGGCTCTGCCCATCTGCTCGTGGCAGAGCCGTGACCCCAGACAGCGTCTGCTGCCTCCACTGAGCACAGGGAGGGAAAGGCAGGAGGTGTTGAGATGGACAGAGCGAGGGAATTAGCAGGGAACAATCCAGACTTCAATTAAATCACAACTTTCAGGATCACAGCTTCATCCCTTTGTCTCCCTCTGCTGCTCTGCTCTGATTGTCAGCCCAAGGTGAGGAATAATCTGCTGTTTCCTATCAAACATCGTCTTTGTGATAACAGCAGGGACTGGAACAGATCTGCATCCCCAACCCCCCTTGACTGCTTTCCCCTACAAAATCCACATCCACATCCATGGCAGATCCCCCCTCAGTGCTGCCTGATCCCTTGAATACAGGTAATCCTGCAGATAAGGAACCTGCACCCCCAGAGGAGGGGAGATTACAGGTGTTTTGGGTGGATATAGGTCTGTACAGCAACCCCAGGGCCTCTGCCACCAACATCCTACACAACCTGCTTCATCCCTTCTCCCACCTGCTGCACCTCAGCTCTTGTTTTTCCTGCTGTTACCCCATTCCCAGATCCTCAAGGGTTTTTCCCAGTTCCCCTGGGTGGGTTGGTTTGTAGGAGCACAGAGGTGCCTGTTCCTTCCAGAGGGTGTGGTGGGAGCTCAGGGACCCCTGAGCTGAGCTGTGCAGCCCTGCTGTGGGGGCACAGGCACCAGCACCTCACAAATACTCGATTATGGCTGAGTGGATAATTAGGTTGAGTTATGTGGATGAGTTAGGATAATTAGGTTCTTGCCCACGTTGCTCTTTTTTGAAAACTCTGTGGTTGCTCTTCCCTCGGCATCAGGCACTGCTAAAAGCCTGTGATCATCTCATCTCCTGGAAGCTGCCCACAGCCTGGATAACAGTCAGAATATTCCCTTCATGGAACTTCTCTTTCAGGTGTTAGGCATTATTTAATGCATCATTTTTAAATAAAGAATGAGTAAACCTTTTTTTTTTTGCTGTTAGATAAATCTGCAGCTTGGTTCTTGGATCATTTCTTCTCCTCCTTGGTAAACCAGTTAAATGAACCATTTTTGTCATTTGATTCCTCTCCTTTGCCTGTTTATCATCAAGAACCCTGTGATGTCTGAATGGCCCTATTAGCAAACACCACTCCATGATCCCTAAGGATCCCTTCCCACTGGAGACACTCTTTTTGGTTCCTGACTCGCAGTTCCAGCATGGCTCGCTCCCTGCATTAATGGCCAGTTCATGGGAAAACTAAATTGCAGTGTGCAGGTTTCACTGGTCCTGTGTGCTGTGAGGGATTCTAAGTAGATTTTATGACCATCATATGGATTTTCTTGCTGAGAGAAAATGGGCCCTTGCCATTTGGATGATCTCAGAGCTTGTTGAGGCTTCAGCAGAAGTTGGGTTGATGAGTGTGGGGTTTTTTTTTTTTAGTAATTTTGACTTACAGTGTTGACTCCCAGCAGGTCTTTGCACTCTGTAGTAAAAAGCCCCTGTAAGAGTGGAGTAGCAAAGGGATATGTCCCTGGAGTTCAGGGCTGCTGAGCAGGCAGGAGCTGAACCTGTGGGCTTTTAAAGCATGGAATTACAGCCATAAATCTTGGCAGACACGAGTCATTCAGACCTGTCTGGGGAGATGGAGTGCAGACACAGGAGTGCTGACTAGCAAATGAAGGGTTTGGGTTGGGTTTATTTCTTCTGAGGGCAGAGGTTTTAAAAACCACACACGACTTCAGGGGGAGGGCAGGTGCCTCCCCTCAGAATAACTAGTAACCTGCAAATGTGAGGATGGATCCTGCCCCTGGATTTACGAGGAGAATGGAATTTACCATCGCAATCCCAGACACCCCAAACTCTTCCAAGGCAGGGAACAGTAAGAATTTGGTGTCCATAAAAGGCTGGGCAGAAATGGGAGCAAGGACTGCAGCTGGTCCAGCCCCAGCACAGCTGCCCAGGGCAGTGGGGGAGCCCCATCCCTGGAGGGATTCAAAAGCCCTGTGGATGTGGCACTTGGGGACATGGGGCAGTGGTGGCCTTGGCAGTGTTGGGAGAACGGTGTGACGATTTTTCCAGCGTGATTCCGTGTGTTCCAGAGGAGTTCATTCACTGGAAAAATGCAGGCTGATCCGTGAAGCCCACAAGGGTATTTGCACATCTGAGGGACACCTCCACCTTCCACTATCCCATATTGCTCCCAGCCCCTTCCAGCCTGGCCTGGAACACTCCAGGGACAGGGCAGTGATGGTGAACTTCCCCTGTTTCCAGAGGCAATGACCCTGTTTAAATGTAGTGCCTGTGAATGTTGTTCCTTCCCGTGGATGGTGTTTCCTGGCCTTCGTGCCCAGGGGTGCCAAGGACAGTGTGGGCAGACTGGGGATCTCACATGGCATGGGGGGCTGGATTCACCTTTATTTAACAGGGAATTACAGCAGCTGAAGGCACTGAAAGGCTTTGGTGTCACTGCAAGGTGATGGATTGGGAAAGGGGAGAATTGGGACCTCTGGAAAGCACCAGGAGTCGGGATCAGCTTCCTGCAGAAGCTGTGGGAAGACCTTCCCGTGGAGATGGTTCTGTCAAGCTGTTTCTGAGCACTAATGAAGCTCTGAGAGCTCAACCAGGGGATGGAGATGGATGGTGGAGATGGATGGTGGGGGGTATCCAGCAGGGCTGTGGGTCCCAGGCTGAGCTGTTGGTTATTCTGGACTGTCCCAGATGGAGTCACTCCAGCTCCTCTTCACTGACTGACACATAGGAGGGTCAGGGTTTCACCAGGGGACTTAGTGAGGAAAGGAATAACTGGATTTGCTCCCAGGAAGATCCTGTGAGTGCTGTAGGCACTGGTAGCTGTGGGGTGTTGTTTTCTGAAGGCCTTAAAAAAAATCTGGCAAATGCTGTTCCTGGGGTGGGCAGCGAGGATGAGGCACCAGGAGCAGCCCATCAGCCTGGTCCCAGCTCTGCAGCCTGGGCTGTCAGTCTGGGAATTCTGGATCCCATCCCTGCCACAGGCCCTAACAGGCAGCTTGGTGTAATTTTCCTGTGTTCTTCCCCAGCCCCGCCCGCCCACAGACCTGGGCTTCAGCTTTGATGCCAACAAACAGCAGCGGCAGCTGATAGCGGAGCTGGAAAACAAAAACAGGTAACAACAGGCTTTGATCAGTCTTGTTTTGGGAACCATCCCCGGGCTTTGTTGTTTGCAGCCCTTTGTGTTACATTAACCAGATTGTTTGCCCAGATCTTCTGTTAAAGGGGAGCTGCCTCGTTAACTCATTAGTTAGTCATTAACAGTAGTTAATTTTCATTGTGGAGGGGCCGCCCTGTCCCTGTTCCCCAGGAAGTGGGTTGATCTTCTCCACTAATCTCCTTAAAATCATCCTGACCAGCACTGAGCATCCAGAGCCCATTTCTCTCTTGTCTGCAGACCCAGAAAACCTCGAGGTTGGGACCCTGAGCCCAGAACCCCCCGTGCCCTGGGCTGGTCCCACAGGGATCATGGGCAGCAGGGCTGGGGGGATCCTGCCCCTCTGCCCCCTCAGCTGAGACCAGGTTGCCCAGAGAAGCTGTGGCTGCCCCTGCATTCCTGGAAGTGTCCAAGGCCAGGTTGGACGGGGCTTGGAGCACCCTGGGTACTGGAAGGTGTCCCTGCCCGTGGCAGGGAGAGGAATGGGATGAGGTTTAAGGTCCCTTCCAACCCAAACCATGGGATTCTTCTTGCTCCAGAGGGTCACCTGTGGAGCCTCTCCAGGCTCTCCTTTTACCTGTGCTCAGGTCTCCCTGTGCTCCCTCTGTGCCAGGCCGTGTGATCCTGCTGCTTGCACAGCCCAGTGCCAGGGCCCCTTCAGCACGTTGGGGAAAAACACTTCTCAGGGGTAGTTTGGAGGAGAAGCAGTTCCTGGAGAGCAGGAACAACTCCTTCCTGGCACTGCTGTGGCTTCAGTGCTCCACCAAGAGACCTTGCAGCTATTTGGAATTATTCCTGGAGATCCCAGATAAGGGAGATCTCAATCAGTGCCGGTGTGAAGCCCTGCCAGGAGAGCAGCTCAGCAGTTTGATGGAGACCTGGAGCTGGCAGCAGTCCCCACTCCCAGAGGGGTTCCATTCCCACTGCAATAAGGGGCCCTTGGGTTGTGCTGGCTGGTCCCCCTTCCCTTGGGGACACCCCAGGGTTTGCCTCTGTTCCAACGAGCTGTTGTTATTCTCCTTATTCCTACTGCCCTGCCCAGAGCCCTCGGGAAGGGGAGTGGGGAGCTCCCAGGCCCTTCCTGCAGTGCCTGCCGGGCAGCTTGTGCTGAAGAGGGAACTTTTGTCCTCTTGGAACAGCCTCTGAGCCCATTCTGTGTGAAAGGATTTGGAAAGGGCGTTGCAATGAGTGATTTCATACTCATTAAGCAGTAAATTTTCTCTGTCTCGCAGCAATTCCTACGTCTGCACCAACTTAACCTGCCTGGGGTGTGAGTCTGTGCCAGCCACACGTGAACAAAACTGCTGTGCTTGGGCTGGGACTGGCAGAAAGTGCTTCCAGGGCTGTAAAAGCGTTTAGGAGCGGTGCAGAGGCTGACTTTTCCCTTCCTTTATCTCCCCCCTGTCGTTTCCACAGGGAGATACTCCAGGAGATTCAGCGGCTCAGGCTGGAACATGAACAGGCCTCTCAGCCCACCCCCGAGAAGGCCCAGCAGAACCCGACCTTGCTGGCTGAGCTCAGGCTCTTACGGTAAAAGCTGGGCTGGTGCTGGGGGGGCACTGGGGTGGGCAGTGCTGGGGGCACTGGGGGAAGCAGCTCTGGGCAGCCTGGCAGAGTCAGCTGAGATTGCTGAGTTCTGAAGGCTGTGTCAGCAACTTTTAGGGCTTTTAAGCGGCTTTAGAAGTAAATAAAAAGGTTTCTTGACATGCACTCTGTTTGTGTAGTCTAGAAAAGCGTTTCTAAAGAAGAAACCGATAGGAAAATCTGGCAGAAATGGCATCGATTGCTCGTCATTTCTTCTCCAGAGGAGCAGAGCTGAAAGCAAACGTCACTTATTTGATCGGTCAGAGAAACTCCCAAAGTTCAGACCTCCAGGCGCATCCAGAGCTGGAGAAACACCTCCCAAAGCCTCTGTGGCTGAGTTTGCACTGCTGGGGCACCTCCAGCGCTGGGGCAGGGCTGGCCCCTCACACCAGAGACACAGGGAGGGGCTGGAGCGTGGGCAGGGAAGGGAACGGAGCTGGGAAGGGGCTGGAGCAGCAGGAGCGGCTGAGGGAGCTGGGGGGGCTCAGCCTGGAGAAAAGGAGGCTCAGGGGGGACCTTCTGGTCAAATTTCCCTATTCTACGGATTTCAGGAGGAATTTGTCCCTGGAAAGGGTGGTCAGGCACTGGCAGGGGCTGCCCAGGGAGGTTTGGAGTGCCCAGCCCTGGAGGTGTCCCAGGCAGGCCTGGCCGTGGCACTCAGTGCTCTGGGCTGGGGGACAGGGTGGGGATGGGACACAGGGGGGATCCACGGGCTGGGAGGGCTTTTCCAGCCTCAATGATTCTGGGATTCTGTGATTCACCCCCCGTGGTATCTCACACGTGGCCTCCCTGGTGTTACATGTACAAGCAGCAGCAGCTTTCCTGCCACCAGCCCTCGCTCATTAACACGTTCACCCTGCACATTAATTGCAGTGGCTGCTCAGCATCACGCTGGGGGGTCCCAATTAGCAGGTGTGGGATGGGAAGGTGCTTCCCCAATCCCAGCTGCTGAGGACAAGCTCCCCAGCCTGGGCACAGCGTGTGGTGCCCTGGACTAGGAGTGTCTGTCAGCACACGTCACCAAATGATCTCACTCCTGCGTGGAATTCAGGCTGTGAAAGCAGGGGAATGATGCTGCATGGAAAATCAACGTGTCCCAGGGCTAAAAATCTGCAGCCCAGCCCAGCCCAGCCTGTGGGATGAGTCAGCTCCAGCACTGCTGGCAGGTGTGACCTTGGAGGAGGCACGGCTGGATCCGTATCCTTGTGCACCCCTGCCTTGCAGTGCAGGTGTCCCTGGCTTCTCCCACCTGCACCACCCCAGGAACACCAAATCACAGAGTGCTTTGGGTTGGGAGAGGCCTCAAAGCTCAGCCAGTGCCACCCCCTGCCATGGGCAGGGACACCTCTCACCAGCCCAGGCTGCTCCAAGCCCCGTCCAACCTGGCCTGGGACACTTCCAGGGGTCCAGGGGCAGCCATAGCTTCTCTGGGCAACCTGTGCCAGGGCCTGCCCACCCTCCCAGGGAAGCATTTCTTCCCAATAACTCATCTAACCAGTGGGAACCATTCCCCCTTGTCCTGTCCCTGCTGTTCCTGATGATCTTCTCCTCCAGTCCCTCTCCAGCTTCCTTCAGATTCTGGAAGGCTGCTTAGTTTAACAACCACAGCCCTCAAAATACAAAAAGATGTTGAAAGAAACATCTAGGGTGGTTAATATTTCACAGTCTTCTGTCCTTTGAAGAACTGTTCCATTCTTCAGATTCCCAGGATGATTTATCCACAGTGAGTCACGTGAGAACACAGATCTAATCGAAGACATTTTAGAGGTTCAGTCTGTAATAGGTGATGCTTTAACTTTGGACTGAGACATCCTGGTGTCCACAAAAATAGCTGTGGATGAATAAAGGAGCCTTTTTAACCTGCTTTTCCCCGTGGTTTTGTATCATCACCTGTGACTGGGCTCTGTGGGTCCTGGCATTTCTTAAGTCACCCGGGACACGGAACCTCCGCCGGGCTGACGTCTGTCTTTGAACTGCTCCTTCTATTAGTCACTGCTTTCCTTTTTGGAGTCTGAAATCAAACTGCACAGTCATATTTCCTCAAATAGCTCCCAGACAGGTTTTGAGCTGCCAAGGGAAGGGAAGGTCACTCCTTATCTGCCGCTGTTGTTACCTGGTGCTGGTGCAGCGAGCGTGTCACGGCACAGAAATAGCTCTGCTGAGTCTCCTCCAGACAGGCAGAGCTTTTCCTCCCCAAACATCTGCAGCCTTTCCTCCTCGTTTTTCCCCTTCTCTTGTCTTTCCTCCCATGGTTCATCCCTGGCTTGTCTGAGCGCTCCACAGGGTGCCAGGCTCTGGCACTCGGGGTTCTCAAAAGGAAGAAAAAAGTGGTTTTTTTTTTCTCAAAATGCAGTGCCCTTTGAAGGGCTTCCCTGTGCCAGTGGCTGAGGACACATCTCTGGGTTTGAAGAAGTGAGCAGGGTATTGTCATCTTCAGGTTCATGGTCACTGCTGAGCCTTGCTCTGGTTTTTAAATGGGGAGGAGGGGGAATGGTGGGAACTGCAGGCACCGTTACACGGGCCAGTTCCCTGAACTGGTTTGAAACACTCCAAGTTTTTTTTCTGCCTCTTTCTTCCATGTGACTGGAACAGGCAGAGGAAGGATGAGCTGGAGCAGAGGATGTCAGCGCTTCAGGAAAGCAGAAGAGAACTGATGGTGCAGCTGGAAGGGCTGATGAAGCTGCTCAAAGTAAGGAATCTCCTGTTGGAAAGGCAGCACATCCCTCCCTTCCCTGGGTCTGTGGCTGCTCTGGGATCCCTGCTTTGCTCTCACACCTTATAAACTCTTTGTGAGGAATAGGAGGAGTTTGCAAAAAGCCATTTCCACTCTGGCTCTGTGTGGGGGTGCAGGTGGTGCAAGAGTTTTCAGGTTCGTGTGGAGAACCCAAGGTTTGGAAGGGTTTAAAGAAGTATTTGATTTGATAACTGGGAGCTGATCTGGGCACCAGTTCTGTTCTTCCAGCTCTGACTGGGAAATAAACTGGGAGCTGCAGTTCCTGCAGGGCAGGATGTGACTCCCCAGGGACGAGGGGCTGATTCAGGGGTGACCCTGCCCAGCCCCTGCCATGGCTGGGGGGTTTGCTCTGAGGGTGATGGTGTCAGTTCTTATCTGCAACACACGGCATTGTTTGGGCTTCTGAGCAGGGTCCTTTATTATTTTGGTGGAGTCCTCCCTCAGCTGAGCTCCCAGGTGATGACTGCAGTCTGAAATACTGTTACACTTTTGTTCTCCCCCTTCTTTAAGTTAAACAAGAGCCAACAAGTCAAATGGCAAAGCCTCAGCCTCAGAGAGGTTTTGGTCTGAGAAAAGGTGCCATGAAGGTGCCTGTGGGGGTGGGAGAGAGATGGAGCAGTGCCAGGGACAGGGTGAGATGTAGATCAGCCACAGGCACATCCTGATGATTCCAGGAAAATTTGGGGCTCATCTGTGCTCGAAAGTGAATTCTCAGTGTCTGTGACTCCAGAGTGCAGTAACTCCTCACTTGGGCTTGAATCCTGATGTAAGAATTCCCACCCCTAGCCTTTATCCTAGGTGGGAATTCCTACCCCTACCCTTGCATCCTGGGGTGATAAAGGAGGTGATGATCCAAACCTCCTCAGAGGTGCCTGGTTTCCTTCATTTCCCTGTGCAGATGAGCACATGTTGTATTTGGGAACTTCTTCAAGCCAAAGGCTCTGCACTCTGTGTTTTCTCTGCTCAGCCCATTAAGGTATGACTTTCAAAACCACAGAAATCATAGAAAAGCTTGGGTTGGCAGGACCTTTAAGCTCATCCCATTCCACCCCCTGCCCTGGGCAGGGACACGTTCCACTGCCTCAGCTTCCTCCAAGCCCCATCCAACCTGGCCTTGGACACTCCCAGGGATCCAGGGGCAGCCACAGCTTCTCTGCCCAACCTGTGCCAGGGCCTGCCCACCCTCACAGTCAACAATTCCTTCCCAATCTCCCATCTGTCCCTGCCCTGTGGCACTGGGAAGCCATTCCCTGTGTCCTGTCCCTCCATTCCTTGTCCCCAGTCCCTCTCCAGCTCTCTTGTAGTTCCTAAATTTGTTTAAGAACTTTATCCAGCAGCTGGGACTGGGTATAAGGAGAAGCTTTGTCCCCATGAGGATGCCCAGGCAGCGGGAGGAGGGCCCACAGAGGCTGCTCCATCTCCGTCCTTGGAGGTTTCCAAGACCCGACTGGCCCAAGCCCTGAGCAACCTGGGCTGAGGTTTTGACCCTGTTCTGAGTGGGAGGCTCGACTGGAGACCCTCTCAGTTGTCCTGCAAGCTGTGACTCCTGGAATTACTTGGTCCTACACGTTGCATAATGTGACTGTTTGCATTTCCCCCTCAGAGCTCTCTCTGGAGCCTGGCAGCTTCTCCTTGGTTAAAGCATCTTCAGAAAGACATCTGGTCTTGAGCTGGAGAAATCAGAAATGGAAAATTCCCTGCCAATGCAAATTTGCTTGAGCAGTTAGAAATTTGTGCCTGGTTTTCAGTTCTAATTCTGTTTGCACCCCTTGGTTCTGTCTCCATGAAATCAAGGAGCACTTTTGCCCCCCTGTGCTCTGCCTACGCAGATCCTTCCCCAGCTCAGCCAAGGCAATTGTCCCTGGGGATTTTAAAGCAGTGAAACAGGTAGAGCTCTGCTGGGCCCCTCACAATACTCCAGCCTTTCTAGGGATTGTTTCTTTGCCTTCTTCAGATTTATTTATTTATTTAATTATTTATTTAATTAATTAATTTATTTGGGAAAAACAAATGGAGTGTGGAATTTTTCCCTGACCCTCGGCAGCCGGTGCAGAGTCACAGCAGGGGCTTTACTGCTCTCCATCCCTGGTTTCCTTTTTGTGCCCTGTGGAAGCTCTCAGTCATCCAGCTCTTCCCCTGTGGATTTATTTCCTTCTGTGGTAACTGGTTAATGAGGATGTTGTGGGTAAATCCTCTGCTGTGAAAACCTCTCACATCTGTGCAGTCCCTTTAGAAGCCAAACCTGTTGTAGACTGAAATAACAAAATCAGCTTCTTTTGTCAAGGCTTCCTTCCCATGAAGTTCTAAAGCTTTTGTGTTACCTGTGCTGCAGGTTGGGGTCCTGTGTCAGCATTTCTGTGGCTCTGAGTGAAGTGATGGCAGGGTCAGATCATGCAGTCAGAAATACTGGGATGGTTTGGGTGGGAAGGGACCTCAAAGCTCATCCAGTCCCACCCCCTGCCATGGGCAGGGACACCTTCCACCAGCCCAGGTTGCTCCAAGCCCCGTCCAACCTGGCCTTGGACACTCCCAGGGATCCAGGGGCAGCCACAGCTGCTCTGCCCAACCTGGCCAGGGCCTGTCCACCCTCCCAGCCAGGAATTCCTTCCCAATCTCCCATCTAACCCTGCCCTGTGGCACTGGGAAACCATTCCCTGTGTCCTGTCCCTCCAGGCCCTTGTCCATGTGTCTCTCCATCTTTCCTGGTGGCCTCTTCAGGTGATGGAAGGTCACAGTTGGGTCACTCCAAAGCTTCTCTTGTTTAATTTGTCTTTCCTCCCTGTTTGAATATCCACATCCCAGTCCTGGGCTCTCCATTAAAAATTCCCTTCCCTGCTCCATGTGGCTCCTCACTCAGGTAATTATTTTAAGCTGCAAGTTCCCCGAGCCTGCTGATCTAAAAATAGAACTTCTAGTAGATACTTTTAACTCCTTTTCACATTATTAGTGTCAGTGCTTCCCTGTCTGCTGAGAGAAACTCCAAGGGGAAGTGCTGTGAGTCAGACCCAGAGCAGAGGCACGAATTCCTCAGCCCCTGCTCAGGATTTCACCCCAATGACCTGAAGTAGTGACGCTGCCTGCAGGCTTTGTTTTGATTCTGATATTTGTGTTCTGCTCAAACTCCCTTTTTCAGTGGTTTTAGCCCTGCCAGACACGATCTTCCCCCACAGGATTTTAGCTTCTCTCATCGTTTGGTGCTCTTCAGAGATGTTCATGTATAATTTACATCAGCTGTTAGGCTTTTATGGGGGTTTTTTTCCATTTTCTTATGCAGTATTTTTTTACATTTTTAATGCTGCCTTCGTTTCACCATTTAGGGCTGGATCCAGCTTACCCAGCTCTGGTTGTCTGAGAGTTTGGGGCCTTAAATCCCTCTCTGAAGAAAAGGAGAAGGAGGAAGGGCCTCTTAGATGCCAAAAACTTCTTTCTGAGGGGCAGCCATTGCCATTCAGAGCTGGGGGTGGGTTTTGCATCCAGTGCCTTCCACATCCCATCACTGACTCATGACGCTTCTCTTGGGGGTTCCAGTTACAGGAGGATCATGGAATCATGAACTGCTTTGGGTGGGAAGGGAGGGGAGAGAGGTTGTGGCTGCCCCTGGATCCCTGGGAGCATCCCAGGCCAGGTTGGACGGGGCTTGGAGCACCCTGGGCTGGTGGGAGGTGTCCCTGCCCATGGCAGGGGGTGGCACTGGATGGTTTATCAGGTCCCTTCCCACCCCAATCATTCTGGGATTCTGTGACTCTCTCCAGACCGCTGGCTTGGCTCTCCCTTCTTTCCTGAGCTCTCCTGCCATGCCCAGGTGCCCTTAGCTGGCCTGGCTCCGGAGCATCCCGTGGGGATGGTTCCCTGCCTCCTGCCAGGGCTCTCCCTCTCAGCTCCACGGATATCCAGCAGACGGATCCCATTTCACTCCCTCCATTTCCTCCACGGCAATTTCCTCGCCGGCTGCTCTTGATGATTTATCTGCTCGCTCTCCGTCCTACCGAGCTCTGTCTGTCCTGAGAGGGTGTTTTCACATCTGTAGTTAATGCCAAAGCCTCATTTTTCAAACTAGCAGCTTTTTTTGTGGAGTGGAGATCATTGAAGATCTCTTCCCCTGACCCAACTCCCCATCTGGTCCCGTGAATCCCAGTGCTGGTGGGAGGAACAACTGGAAACATGTGGGACGTGGGGAGGCCAAGCTGATCTGAGTTTGAGTGGAGCCAGACCCCACATCTGCCACGGCAGCATCTGGAAACACACCTGAAGGGACTCTAAGTCTTACTAGAAAAAAACCCAAAAGTGTCTGCTCAGAAATGTGGAGTTCTCTGCAGCCATTCCCAGATTTCTCTGCAGTGCCCAGTGGGAAAAACAGCTTTCAGTGGTCAGTGAGAAGAAGCTGCTTTAAATTAAGGGAAAGGTTCTGGTTAATCCTGCTCAGGCTGGAGATCAGGGAGGGAAGGTGGATAAATGGATTCATGGATTTCAAGGCCAGAAGGAGCTTTTATCCCGTGAATTTTAATTCCATGACCTGGATTTCTGGGGAGAGGAGCTTAGCAGGGGTCCTCTGTGCCGAGGGTCTGTGCCAGGCCAGGGGCAGGGGGAGTCACCTGGCAATGCTGTCACTGCTGGTTTGGGGTGGGTGAGTCACCAGGACTGTGCTCCAGCCCTTCTGTCAGAGCACACCGTCAGACTCCTGATGGTTTTTGTCTTTGAAAGTGTCTGAATTAGGAAAGAAACTCCTCACTGTGGGACATTTTGCTCATTCCAAGGAATTCTCCCATAGCTGAAGGCAGGATGTGCCTCCACCTGCCCAGCCCCATCAGAGGGGACCTTTCCCTGCTTCAAAAGGGGATCAATTCATCCAAATTTCACCTTTTTTGTCTTCCAAATCAGGAGGGATCTGTAGTGACAAAGGCACTGCAGGGCAGGAATTGTTTTCTCTGCATCTTTTCCCTCACTCAGCATCTCTGGTGCCTTTGCCCTCCCCTTGTCGTGTCCCATTCCAGGCCTGGTTGCTTTTGCCCTCGCAAATCCCATTCCAGGCAGAGGTCCTGGAATGCCCAGTGGGAAGTGACCAAAAAGGTGATGTTTTGCCTCTGGGGCTGTGGCAGTTTTGGGTCTCTGGGAAGGCAGATTTGTGCCCCAGGGAAGCGAGCGCTGGGCACTCCGGATGGTATTCCCAGACTTTAGAGGGTGGGTCTGGGGTTTGCTGCCTTTAGGGCAGCTCAAGAGGCCTTCTGAGTCCAGAGTAGGAGGCGTTTGCTCCATTCCCCGTGTTCTTGTTCTTTCATTGCGGCTGTTGTGTATTCTGTGTGAAAATCATCATTTTCATATGGTAATTAATCTTTCCTCTCTCTCTCTCTCTTCACCTTTTTCCTTTGCCAACACTTCTAGGAAGAAGAGCAAAAGCAGGCAGTAAGTTGACCTCACCTTGTAGGTGATCTGACTCTCGTTTCCTTCCTGCATGAAATCCCTTTTCTGTTCATTGGCTTGTGTGCAAATAAACCGTGGGACTGCGGGGCCTTTCCCTCTCGTGAGTTTGCAAACAGCCTTCGCCCGTTTCCAGCAGAGCATGTTCTGTGGGTGGCCCTGAAGTTGTTCCTCTCTCCCTTTCAAATGAAGTTGATTGCCTTGGGGGGACACAACTGGTGGCTGGGTTCACGAGGCTCTCATGGAATTGTGCATGACCATCCAGGGCTGGAAACGGGCATTCTCAGCTGGCTTCATAAATACATTTTGCCGGAGATCCCTTGGAGTGTTCCACGTGCTAAGAAAGCTTCCTTGTCTCTTCAGGAACCCTTTAATTTGCCTCCTTGCCACATGCAAGTCCATGCATGAAAACTAATTAATGACTTAATATTCTGGGCATGGATCCATATCCTTCAGCCGTGGCAGAGTCTCCTTGAACGAGCCCCGGAGTGCTCCTGGTGAGCAGGAGGGAACTGAGGGGAGACAAGAAGGCCTTTGCTTTGTTGCTGTGTTTCCATTTTCTCTGTTCAGAGCCCAATCCCGTGTTAATTTCGGGATCCACTCCAGAGGGAGCCCTTTTGCTTTCCTCAGCATCAGCCAGATGTTCAGTGTCTCCTCTCCAGCACAGCACATTTGTGCTGTTTTCGAACATGGTTGCCTCTCTCACGGAGCTGTGATGACCTCTAAGCCTGTGGTTTGCACTGGGGGGGGATTCTACACGTTGTTGTTTGCCACCTACATAATTGGGTGTTGGACACAGGAGTGGGAAATTCTGGTGACTTATTCTTTGTGGGGAATGTGTATTTTGGGGTGACTTTTAATGGTGAAAACGCTTCGGTTCTCCGTGTGCTGGAATTGGCTTTTGGTGGCTCCTGGGTGGCCTTTTATTAGTGTTCTGTCATCAGTTTTAAGGTGTTGGTGAGTGGGCACCTTCTGTTGGAGCCCAGGTCATTGTTAGGTGATCAGAGAATCATGGAATCATGGAATGGCCTGGGTTGGAAGGGATCTTACAGCCCTGGGCAGGGACACCTCCCACCAGCCCAGGTTGCTCCAAGCCCCATCCAACCTGGCCTTGGACACTCCCAGGGATCCAGGGGCAGCCACAGCTTCTCTGCCCAACCTGTGCCAGGGCCTCACCGCCCCCCCAGACAGGAATTTTTTGCTGATATCCAATCTCAGCCTATCCCTGGGTTTGCTGAGCAGTTACCTGGCTCATTAGAGGGACCAGGTCACAGCACGTGGAAGGATCTTCAAGGAATGTCCTGGAGGAAGGAAAAGAACCAAGGCACCACCATTCCTGTCCTCCAGCTTCCAACTGTGCCAGTGGAACGCTGTGTTGTGTGTCATTCTCCTACCCAGCATCATTCCTAGGAATAATTCTCTGCAGGAAAGGCAGTGTGTTATATATTAGCTCATTTTTCCTGTGCTGTGCTTTCATCTGGATTATGGATATAGCAAAAGGGTAAATATGAGGTCAGGGAAGAATTTGACCAATTTTACCTCCCTTCTTTTCCTGGAACACTGTGTCAGGAGGAGGACAACGAGCCAAAACTAAAATAATGTCAACACGGTGACATTCTGTCCAGGCCAGTTCTGTTGGAATCAGGGATGAATGAGCCAAAAAGCCTCAAGAAAGGCAGATTTTGACCAACCAAGGGACATGTTGGTGGTCTGTAGAAGTTGAAACTTTACATCCTCCCTTTGCTTGGACTGAGAACTGTTCTAGATGTGAAGGTGCAGCCTGGAAAGGCCGGAAATCGCAGGATGAGCTGCTCCCTTTGGCTGAGAAGCACATAGAAACCACAGGCTGGCTGGGATGGAAAGGCAGCTCTGAGATCACCCAGACCATCCCCCCTGCTCAAAACACTGCTCAGGGGTTTGTCCCCTCACCACAGAATCATTAAATCTCAGAATGGTTTGGGTGGGAAGGGACCTTAAAGTCCACCCAGTCCCACCTGCTGCCACGGGCAGGGACACCTTCCACGAGCCCAGGTTGCTCCAAGCCCCGTCCAACCTGGCTTTGTATGAGGGAAAAAGTGGAGCAGCCTCTGGATGATGTGGAAGAGACTGATCCTGAGGGATCTGAGGTGATGATCCTCCCGGCCCTCGGTGAGGTGGATCAGCTGTGTGGTGGCAGCAGGGATTTCCATGAAGGGTTAAGGTAAATAACAGGCAGAACAAGGGTCATGGATTAGGACCAGCAGCACATCAGGAGCAGCAACGTTGGCATCCACTTTGGAAACCTCTGGTCTTCCTTCACTGCTGGGGCTGCAGGTCCCTTCCTGCCTTGGTCAGAAACCAAGTTATGAGGAGAGAGACACCATTTCTGAGCCTGGGACTCACGGGCAAGCCCAAAAACTTGTGTGCCCTGTGTTCAGGGCTGATCTTCTGTCGAGATGTTGACAGTCTGTGCTCTGCCTTGGGCTCGCTGGGGCCAGTGCTGGGCACACCCTGGAGGAGCAGAGCCTCGTGTAGGGATGTTGTTCCAGTGACGGAGTTTCGGGCCTCATGGTGTTCATGGCCCACCACACTGTTCCCCACTGCTGCTGGGATTGTTGTGTCCCAGCTAGTAAAGATCCTAATTTACAACAGGACCGTTTCCACGTCTCAGCTGGTGAGAGACTCGGGCAATCTGCTAAATATTAAGCCCCCTTTGTTTTGGAGTCAGACAGGCAGCCGTAGGAGCTGCGCTGTTCTGGGTCCAGAGGAACGTTGAAGGGATTCCCGACGATGTGCATCACATGGATGATGTCCTTGGCGTGTCCTACAATCCACACAGCAGACCCAGAGGAGCGTCAGGCGCTTGTGCTCCGGCACCAGAGAGCGGCTCTAATGCCAAACAGGCACAGGAACACGGCTCATGGGAGGGCTGAAACGCTGCAGTGGAATCTTTTCCTCTCAGAAAGCGGTGGGAACCATCAGAATGGCAGAGCACAGCGGGCTGGTGACTCTCAGGGTTGTGTTACCCGGCAGAAGTGGACATGCACTCACCCAAGAATCCTTGGGAAGTCGTGGAAGTTGGGGGGTGGGGGGGGTCCTTAACCCCATGGAGAGGGATCAGCAGTTCCCCTTTTCCTCCCACGGTTCAGACTGAGTGTGTAGATGAGGCTTTCCAGTGAGCCTGAGCAGTGCCAGGGCAGCAGTGCCAGGGCAGCAGTGCCAGGGCAGCACTGCTCCCCTTAACGAGCTGAACCTTCTTAGCCACGGCTACAGCAAAGCTGAGCCCAGCAACCAGCTCAGGTGACACCTGTGTGCTCTCCCAAGGGATGCAGAAAGCTGTGAGTGGGGAATTCCCAACCCTGCAGAGCCCTTGGATCACCTGAAGAAGTCTCGTGTAGATACCTCAATCTGAGGCTGCTGTTCAGCTCTGCATCCATTGCATCAGCCAAAGGTGGAGTCCCCGTCCCTGGAGGTGTCCAAGGAAAGACGTGGCACTCAGTGCTCTGGGCTGGGGGACGAGGTCTTTTCCAGCATGAATGATTCCGGGATTCCTCGGCCTCCCAGAGCCAGTGGCTGCACTTGGGTGTTGGGAACAGCGTGCCTGGGAACTACCAGGGAATGTGCTCACTGAGTTGTGTCCCAGCCCTGACAACGAGTGTTCCAACACCTGGATCCTGAAAATGACCTTGTTCCAGTGCCAGGAACACCCCTGTGTGTGGTTCAGCTCCCTGATGTGGGCAGGCAGAGCTTTGGAATGAGCTTGGGGTTGGTGCCTCCACACTAAGAGCGTGTTCATGGGTCTCCTGGAGGGTATCGATGAATCCAAGTAGTTTGGGTGGGAAAGGATCTTTAAAGCTCATCTAGTCCAACCCTCCAGCCACGGGCAGGGACACTTTCCATTCCCCAGGTTGCTCCAAGCTCCATCCAACCCATATCACACCCAGAAGAGCTCCCAGAAGAGCCAGTTAGTTGTCTAGGGAGCCCACCCTCCGTAGCAGTGGAGTTCATCTGTCGGCGTTTCGGAATGGAAGGGGGGTCTGTGCTGCCTTCAGGTACCTTCTGCTCTCAGTGCCAGGAGGCAGAGCTAAGAGGATTTGGAAGGGACTTTGGACAAGGGCCTGGAGGGACAGGACAAGGGGGGAATGGCTTCCCACTGCCAGAGGGTTAGACAGGATATTGGGAAGGAATCCTGGGCTGGGAGGGTGGGCAGGCCCTGGCACAGGTTGGGCAGAGAAGCTGTGGCTGCCCCTGGATCCCTGGAAGTGTCCCAGGCCAGGTTGGACGGGGCTTGGAGCACCCTGGGCTGGTGGGAGCTGTCCCTGCCCATGGCAGGGGGTGGGATGAGATGAACTTTAAGGTCCCTTCCAACCCAAACCATTCTGTGACTCTGGGGGTGCTCGACTGGGAGGGGTCCCCGTCAGTCGCTGCCGGCCCAGAGAGGCTCCCAATCCCCCTGTGCCGTTGTTCAGAGCACACAAACAGCTCGAGGGACTGTTGTCAAACAGGGACTGGAGCAGTGGAGAGCACTTGGCTGTTCTCAGTGCTGTGTTGCAGCCAGCAGAGGTGTTTCCTCCTCTCCCAGGAGGGGCTGTCTGGGAGCTGGGTGGTTTGTCCTGGGCTCCTGCTGTCCCGTGGGGAGGCACCAGCCGGGAGGCAGGACGGGCTCTGCCGCATCCCCATCCATTCATGCCTTCCCTGAATCACATTCCTCCGCCCTTAATCACGTTTTGGATCGCACAGCCAGGAACAGGCGGGAGTTTGTTCGGTTCCTTGTCTTCCAAGCCCTGCCTTGGCGGAGAGGCACGTCTGCCAAGTTCCAGCTCTCAAACCACTGCCCTGTTAACAAAGCTCCGGGCACAGGCTGCTTCGGACTGGGGGAAAATGCACCTATTAACGTGCTTCAAGCCCAGCTGAGGGGGTTGGTTCTGTGTTCTAAACAGGTCCTCCTCTCAGGGGCTGCCTGAAAATGTTTCTGCTTTTATTCTCTAGAGGTTTCTGTTTATTTT